AATATTACGCATATTAAAGTTGTTTTGATTATTCGAAAAGATCTGATTGGTGCATATACGACGATCTTTCATGGTCTTATTTATTAGACTGTGCAAATCCGACGATATGAAAATTTTTTTGATTTATAATTCAGTAATTAATGTTACTCAACGTGATATGAACATCCCCAGTGAAAAATTTTCGTTCACTTATTTAACGATAACAAGAGCTATAGACGATGACTTTTACAGTAATGCATATTTGTTTTTTAAATTGATAGCTCTAGAAATCATCGTCCCTGTTTTAGTTTTGTAAGATTCACATTATCTACAGTCAAACATCTCAAAGGATAACTTATAGGGTCCAGACTTTTAACAATATGCACTTGGAGAACAATAAGAAAAAGAGATTAAGTATATACTGTACTTGGGCCTGCGTTTTAAGTTGCATTTGCATTGCACTTAGAATGGTTTGACAGTATAATTAATACAGTCAAACCTCCATATATACACCCCCTTGGGACCGACCATAAGCGTGCATTTGTGGAGGGTGTGCATTTATAGAGAGTGATTTTATAAGTGTTATTATTAGTTGGGACTGAGGTATAGGGTGCAATTATAGAGGGTGTGCATATATAGAGCGTGCATATATGGAGGTTTGACTGTATAAAGAACTAATCTTGGGATTAAGATTTAATAACAAATAACCCATCGTAAGTATTTCAAGCAATATTATAGAATTAATTCATATTTCAGCCTTAACATAATGTCCATTGAATATAAATTCTTTAGTTAAAAAAAACAGATCTCTATTGTATCATTGTCCGAAGCATAGTAAAAGACATTTTACTTTTACTACAAAACTATGCAATATCCACTAACAGTACCCCATTAAGCTGTTTGGTTAAATGCCTTGACACATTTCAGTATTTATGGCATTAACAAAAAGATATCATTGGATTAGCTGTTACGTAAAGTCCAAACTCTCGACGCCCAGAATCCTGAAGGGTTATAGTTAACGCCAGCAAGTTTATTGTAGTTGTGATCTTTCAGAACTTTAAGGAACTCCCATATGGAAATTATATTATGTCATAGCAGTTTAAACTACAAGATTAGCATTTAGTTTAATTCAACTTCTTAAGGTTTATAGGTGACTTTATATTCGCATTTTTTTTATTTTTTTTTTTATTTCTTTGATATGATTATCTAACTTTGTGGCATTATTTGGTTCAATTTCTATTGATTTATTGAAATCTGCAAGCGATTTTTCATATTCACTTTTCTTATAATAAGTAAATCCACGATCCCTTAATGCTCCTGCATTATCTGGTTCAATTTCTATTGATTTATTGAAATCTGCAAGTGATTTTTCATATTCGCTTTTCTTATAATAAGTAAATCCACGATCCCTTAATACGCTTGCATTATTTGGCATGATTTCTAATGATTTATTTAAGTCATCAAGTGATTCATTATACTTTTCCATTTCTTGATAAACTAATCCACGGTTGTTTAACGTCACGGCGTCTTTTGAATCGATTCTTAACGACTTACTAAAGTCTTCAATTGACTTCTCATATTCTTTCATTTGAAAATAAGTTATTCCACGCTCATTTAATGTAAGCGCGTTATTGGGTTCGATTTCTAATGATTTGGTTAAGTCTGCAAGTGATTTTTTATACTTGCCCATCTTTTGATAATATAATCCACGGTTTTTTAATGCATTGGCATTATTTGGTTCGATCTTTAATGATTTATTTAAATCCACAAGTGATTCATCGTACCTATCCATCTCTAGATAAGTTAATCCACGATTTTTTAATGCATGGGCATTATTTGGGTCAATTTCTAGTGACTTATTAAAATCTCCAAGCGATTCTTCATATTTGCCCTTGTGCAGATATGTTAATCCTCGACTGTTTAACGCACATAAATTATCTGGTTCGATTTCTAATGATTTATTTAAATCTACAAGTGATTCATCATAACTGCCCATCTTTTGATAAGTTAATCCACGATTTTTTAATGCATTGGCATTTTTTGGTTCAATTTCTAATGACATATTTAAATCTACAAGCGATTCTTTGTATCTGCCCATATGTTGATATGTTAATCCCCGAATATTTAATGTTTTTGAAACGTCTTTTGGATCAATTTGTAATGATAATGATTCATTAAGATCAGCAAGCGACTCATCAAACCTACCCATCTTTTGATATGTTAATCCACGATTATTTAATGTAATAGGGAAATTTGGTTCAAGTTCTAATGATTCATTTAAGTCTGAAAGTGATTCCTTGTATTTGCCCAATTCTTGATAAGTTAATCCACGATTATTTAATGTCGCGGCGACATTCCGATCAATTTCTAATGACTTATTAAAATCTGTGAGTGATTCTTTATATCTACACATCTGTTGATACGTTAATCCTCGATTGTTTAAAGTTATGGCATCATCTGGGCTAATTTCTAACGATTTACTTAAATCCGCAAGTGATTCTTCATATTTTCCCATATATCGATATGTTGACCCACGTTCACTTAATATTGTAGCGCTATCTGGACTGATTTCTAATGCTTTATTAAAAAAATAGAGCGATTCTTCATATCTTCCCATACATTGACATAAAAACCCACGATTATTCAAATCTGTAACATCATTTAAGTCAATTTCTAATGGATCTTCAATTGAATCATCATCGCTTATTACGTGGTAGTTTGGCATCATATTAGAATTTCGCAACTCATTTTCTAATTGATTTGTATTCAAATTATCGATTTCTTCTTTAAAGTCAGGAATATCAGGAATAATTTTGCATGGTTCTGTATTAATTGAACCTATTAGGTCACCAGTTTGCGAACTACATGACTTCTGAGAAGCGTCTATCTTCATTTGATCTTCATTATTAACTTTTAAAGCATTTAAATCCGAAAAAACTTTTTCAATAGTTGGGCGTATATTAGGATTGACTTGCCAACAATCTTTTATTTAAAAGGTTTAAAAATATTATTTTCGTGATTTTAAAAAAATCAACTAAAAAAATTTTTTATACCTTCATAGATTTTTGCATATGCGGGCGGAGTTCCTTTAATAACTTCTTCTCTAACACCCTGCATATTTTTCATAAATACACTGTAATATGAATCTCGTTCAAAAGGAGGGTGACCACTGGATATTTCCCACATGAGAATACCGACACTATATATATCTGATTGTTTATTAAAGCTAAAACTAACTGTTCCACTTTCATTTATTTTTCTTTTTCTTGAAGCTTCAAACCTCTGCGGATCTATATATTGAATCATTCCATGAATTTGATTTGAATTTGTAACCTCACCTAACCTCTTTGAAAGTCCGAAGTCTGCAAGTTTAATACTTTTTTGATGAATAAGTATGTTTTTTGAATGCTATTAAATTATAAAAAATAAAAAATCAGATGAATGCACGGTATTATGTCTGGAGTAAAGATGTACTCACGCGCGAGATACTGATATCACCCTCGCGCGAGATAAAGAATATCTTAGTTATCAGTGACTTATCAAACTAAATAAATATATATACATATATTTATATTGACAAAATAATTAAACTAAATTCCATTTAAAAAAAACAAAAAACAACAATAAGGCTATCACTAAAACACATTTTCTAAACTCCAAACTTTGTCCTGTAAAAGTTCATCTCAAATTTCGCGCGAGGTCATACAATATTCTAAATATATGTTAGGTTTTCGCGCGAGAGGAACATCTCCAGTCTGAAGCCAATTATAACTGTACAATAAAAGCTCTGCTTCGGACGATATGCCTAATATTTTGAAAAAATGATGCCAAAAACTTATCACCACAATTATTTACATTATGTAACCAATAGCTCGAATCGATTAAATATTTTAGAAATTCTCTCTAAATCTGTAAAATTTAACTCTGTATGAACCATAATTTTAATATAAATAACAAAACACCTTTTAATCTAAATAATGATGGTGATAACCTTTTTTGTATATTGCAAAAATTACCAAATCACGGTGCACAATATTTTCGGCATGCAAACATCTAATTGCTCTGGCGATCTGCCAGGCAAGATCAATCTTATCGTCCCAGGAAAGATGTTTAAAATTTTTATGCAGATAAGATCTTAAAGTTCCGCTATCAGCATATTCAAGAACAAGCATGTAGTTCGTAAGGCGTGAATTTGTTCCACCTATAGGTTATACAAATGAATTTACAAATCAAAATGGGTGTATGCTATTTGAAGCTTTTTATTGATTGTAAATAATCAAAAAAATCAATATGATAATAAATAAATTAACTGTAACTTTACCTTTACCTTCATATCTGGTGACGCCAAGTAGGCGAATAATATTAGAATTTACGTTTACTTTACGATGTAATTTAATCTGTACGGTTTATATTCTTAACTTAGTATGGATACAAAATCTTATTATAGCAAATAAGAAATTACCTCATTAACAACTTCTTTAATGGTAACTTTATCGTTATTATTTTTAAATAATTTTAGCGCGACATCAGTATGATTCAAAAGAACAGCATAATAAATCTTAGCATATCCTCCACTTCCAATACGTCTAACATTATTAAAATTAGAATATTCATAATATTCAATTTTTTCCTCGATGATACATTTTTGAATTAAATCTCTAGACTGTTCCATAATCCGAAAATTTAAGTTTTGTTCATAACGATAAAACCACAAAGTTCTTATGTGCTATGTATGTGTAACAAATGGTCGATCAGTTAATCTTATTATAGATTTTTAGTTATCCAAGAAATTTTTGTCTTACATTACATGGCTAAAAACAACATATTAATATGCCGTATATTTTTAAAGTACTAAAATAGTATTAGTAGTAACAGAAAATTTAAGTGACATGCAGTGGAATCGAGATTTGATATTTCAGTGAGGACTAGTTGGTTTACACCTTTTATTATTATACTCGAGATTCAGCATTTCCTTTATCGAGTGATCTTTTATATACCACTTTTCCATTAAGGTGAAAAAAATAATTACGAACAAATAAAGTAAATAAATTATCTTCAAAAAGGATTAATTGTGTGAAGGTTAAGAAGAGAATAATATAAATAAAATTATCATTTATCAATCATTTAATGGGGTTGATTTGTGTTAATGAAATTTTAGATTTTGTTCGGGTAGTGGTGCATCGCGCTGGCCATGAATTACAGTTCCCTTAATAATAATATAAAAAATTATTAAGTAAAAAATTATTTCTTATATGGAATCTGAAAATATTAAAAAGATAATACAAAAAGATTTACAATAGTAGGTATTGATAGAATTATTATATATAATTACTTTATAGGTCAAAATCTTATAATAAAAAATCAATACAGATCAGTTATTACTAATTATATAATTAATATTTGAGTTACTTTGGTTGTTATTTAAAGCAAATTGATTAATATAATTAACTATAATTAATACCTAGTTTCAAAAATTGTATCGTACTTAAAGATCTCAGATAGGCTATATAATTTTAGAATTTTTAAAACTTAAAATAGTGTTTTACAATTAGTACATGAACTAAAATCAGTATATACAATAAGCTTACTTTTAACAAATAAACTTTATATGCATCTTTACACATCTACTACTAATATCATAGAAGTTTGTCCGATTGGCTAATAAATTCAATTTAATTTTACATTATTTATACATTTTTGAGTACTTTTAAAAACGAAAACTAATCATAATGAAATAAAAAAAAGCTGTATATAAGGTTTTATTAGAGTTGTACTTACCCACTACGTAGTAAGATAGAATTTAAAACACGAACAAACAAATAAATTGCAAAATTGGATGAATAATAATCATCTGTAAATCTAAGCATACGCTCACCCTCTAATAATATAAATGTAAATATTGAATATATTAAAACAAATCATCTAGTCAAAAAGGTAAGCCAAAAAAAATAGGAAAAAATATTTACGCGCGAATGAATAATAGAGTAAGTTAGCCATCGAAAAATAAATTAAGCAGTAAGGATGACAAACGCACAATAAATGCTCACCAAGTTTATTTTTTGAACATCAAAATAAGCTTAACGATAAATTTACAACATTAAAAAGAATTTCTAATTATTAAGATTGAAAGTGTATACTTACATTCTAATATACCAGAATAGATCATTAATAAAGTTAGTAAATCGAACTGACTTACATGCTAAAAATTTGAACAAATAGTAAATTAAAAGCCAAAAGAGTAGTTTGCTACAAAAATTAATAACATCAGCGTTGAAAATTAAAGTATTCACTCACATTCTAGTGAATGGTAAAAGAATATAAAGATATTAGACAAAAAATTATAATGGTAAAGGAAGTGACGAACATTATTAATATTGATAAAATAAAACTAATATACACACACACTATTTATTTAATAAAAGAAAACTTATAAATGAGGGTAACATCATAAAAAATCGTGTTACCGTATATGTAAAGTTTGAAACTTTTGTTTTTCATATGTTAAAATTGATTAAATCCAGTTTTAGGGTGCTCTCAAGCGCCTTAATCAATAGATCGGTGTATAAATTTACATTAATAAAAAATATCTCAGCTGGTCAAAAGTGTTTATCATTGCGGTTAAAAAAAAAGATAGTCTGCGCCCATTTTTTTTCTTCAAAGAGTTGCGCTGATTGGTCAAAATATACGGTCAACTCTTGATAAGTCGGGATCGTCGGTATAACAAGAGTATCGGTATATTGAGTGATGATCACCCTTTGATAATTCAGGTGGCACATGATACCGGTTTAATTAAGAGCCACTATTTTTAGTACGGTATTTATATACAAAAAATAAATTGTGTTTTAAAAATTAAAATGCAGTAAAACTTTTAAATAAATGAATAAAGTGTGGTATATACGTATCAGGTTCAAAATCGATTCTTGGCAAAAGATGACTTTGAATAGGGAATCGATTCTGAACAATCTAAATAATCACATTTATAAGTTAACAGAACTCGAAAGTAGTTAAATTTTATAATCACATGTTACATATTGTTCTTCAATATTCGACTTATTCAATTCACTATTAAAAAATAAATTATTAAATAACAAAGAAATACCTTGCT